GTTTGTATGTTGTGTTTCCTCATCAGCTTCCCTATGAGGTCAGTGGTTCCTTTGATGTATGGGAAGAACACTTTTCCTCTGGGTGGACTGCATTGTTTGTAGCTTTAAACAGTTCTTCCTCTGTGCATGAGTCAGGACACTGTAGGCAAATTTGAGTTCCTTTAAACCTATGGTTCTCAACCTGTGGGTCCCCAGATGTTTTGGCCTTCAATTCCCAGAAATCCTAACAGCTGGTAAACTGGCTGGGATTTCTAGGAGTTGTAGGCCAAAACACCTGGGGACCCACAGGTTAAGAACCGCAAATTCTGTTTACCTGGTAAATAACACCTTTGTGCCACCAGGGTATATGTCTTTGTTTTGCAAAGACGTATTTTTTTGCAATCTTGTTAGCTGGAGAGAAAAAACTGATGAGGACACTTCTCTCACTGAAGATTTTGGCTGGCACAAAAGATGGAGCACTTCTTTCATTCAGTTCAGTAGTCTTCTCACACTGGGAATACAGAATTACATGAAGAGAGCCCCAATGCTGCAGGGATCTTAAATGACAAAGGAAATCCTCTGAATGAAGGATGTGATTAGAAGGTTCTTCTCGACTGAAACCCGAACCTGCTCTTTATGAGAGACAACAGCATTTCTCTTGCTGGCAAACATTCTGACCATTAAGGAAGATTGAGGCTGAATAAGCTTCTGCAAAACCCCTTCTGCTTGCATGAGAAGCTGCATGGAGACTTTGAGATTTACCCTGGAGAACCCTCTTGCGGCCATACTGAGAAAAGCATTATGCTGTAAGAAGTTGTTTTAATTGTGCCATCAAAGTTTGCATATCTTCCTCCACAGCAGCTCCCCTAGAGACTTTTTGCTTGGTTGGGGGATGGGGAGGAGGGAGGCCGCAGTGTTCAGGAATCTCAAAATGGCAGGCCCTGCAGCCGCCAGCAAAATGGCAGTCAGCATCACTGCTGACGGTGGGAAAAAAGAAACAGGAAAAATCAATCACTAATGGCAGATGAGACCAGAGGAGCTTGCCTGGGAACATGCAGAGGGGAATTAGAAAGGAAGTTCCTTGCAAAGCACTGGGACCCCCCAGGGGGAAGGGAATGAAATCTGATCACAAATTTATTTATTTATCTACTATACTGCCATTCTCAGTCCGAGGGCAACTCAGGGCAGTTTACAAATGGCACAATTTGATGCCTGCAACAACATAAAAACAATTAAAACATTCAACATAAGTAAAGTTCAATAAATAATAAAACAGTAAAAATATATAACCTCCGCATCTCATTACTAAAATCATTATCCAATCACGTTGTCCAGTCATTCCGAAGATCAGAGCTTGTCTTCTACACTGCATTTGGGAAAGCTTCTTCAAAAAGTCCGGCCTCCCAACAATCCGAGACCATAAACCATTTTCCAGAAGCATCCTCTCCTGACGTTTCGCCTGCATCTATGGCAGGTATCGTCAGAGGTTGTGAGGTCTGTTGGAAACTAGGAAAATGGGGTTTATATATCTGTGGAAAGTCCAGGGTGGGAGAAAGAGCTCTTGTCTGTTCGAGGCATGTGTGAATGTTGCAATTGGCCACCTTGATTAGCATTGAATAGCCTTGCAGTTTCAAGGTCTGGCTTCTTATTGCCTGGGAGAATCCTTTGTTGGGAGAAGATTAGCTGTCCCTGATTATTTCTTGTCTGGAATTCCCGTTTTTGAGTGTTGTTCTTTATTTACTGTTATGATTTTAGAGGTTTATTTTTAATACTAGTAGCCAGATTTGGTTCATTTTCATGGTTTCTTCCATTCTGTTGAAATTGTCCTAGTTTCCAACAGACCTCACAATCTCTGAGGATGCCTGCCATAGATGTAGGCAAAACATCAGAGAATGCTTCTGGAACATAGCCATATAGCCCGGAAAACTCACAATCCAGTGATTCCAGCCATGAAAGCCTTCGACAATGCATAGACTGTGAACCAGACCACTGCTTTAAAAGTTTGGAGACCCCTTCTCTATATCCCCACTGGGTGTTGAGACAGCATACGAAGAACGGAGTGGGCATGCCATCCCGTGCTGTTTGTGGAAAGGACTTCAGTGACAGGAGACCAAGCTTTCTGTATTGAATGGGTGCCCCAAGCTGGTTTTATCTATAAGAGTACCTATAACCAGTTGCATGGTTTGGGGCAGGCTTATTTTACATTTTGATCAGTACATAACTGTTCTCAACCACCAAAAGGTAAGATGAGGAGAAAAGGTAAACAGGTGGTATCGCAGTGGGTTAAACCCTTGTGCCGGCAGGACTGAAGACTGACAGGTTGGAGGTTCGAATCCAGGGAGAGCGTGGATGAGCTCCCTCTGTCAGCTCTGGCTCCCCATGCGGGGACATGAGAGAAGCCTCCTACAAGGATGGTTAACCATCTGGGTGTCCCCTGGGCAACGTCCTTGCAGACGGCCAATTATCTCACACCAGAAGCGACTTGCAGTTTCTCAAGTCGCTCCTGACATGAAAAAAAAAATGTTGTTCTGAAGTAAATATTAATGGAAATGGGGTCAGCAATAGTGTGTGTGTGTTACTACAGGTCCCAATTTGGTTGAAGTCACCCTTTTGGTTGGAGCCCCCGGTGGCGCAGTGGGTTAAGCCCCTGTGCCGGCAGGACTGAAGACCGACAGGTTGCAGGTTCGAATCCGGGGAGAGGCGGATGAGCTCCCTCTATCAGCTCCAGCTCCTCATACGGGGACATGACAGAAGCCTCCCACAGGATGATAAAAGCATCAAATCATCTGGGCGTCCCCTGGGCAACGTCCTTGCAGATGGCCAATTCTCTCACAGCAGAAGCGACTTGCAGTTTCTCAAGTCGCTCCTGACATGATTAAAAAAAAAAACCCCATTCAGTCAGCAAGTTCAGCAGCTTTTAACCCACTGCGCCACCGGGGGATTCTTATAGTGTTTCCTATAGTTTTGATTAAAGCTGCTGACTTTATGCTATATGTTTATTTGATTCTTTTTATTATTTTTCATTGCATACCAGCATCCATATCTGCTACAGATTGTAATCAGAGAGCAATTTACATAGTATAATTTGTGACATCTAAGCAAACATCCATTGCATTGCTTTCACATACCAAACCAGGAGAAGCAGTGCATCTTAAACCCAGAAAGCTTTATTCCAAACAAATAAACTGTCCACAGAGAAAAAAAAGATTAAACAAACAAGAAGGTAACACTATACAAACATATGAAAGGAGCAAGTCATCAAAAGCAAGACGAGTCTATTATAGATTACTGGCAAGGAGAAAGAAGCGGTAGGAAGTGGTATTATCACCGCACACTGCGGGATGATTTACGGGAAATGGGTGTGGTCTTCTTTGGTGTTTCCTCCTCTGTCAGTTCAGTTTGGAGTTCTGCAAGAGAATGGAAAAATCATTTCACTTTGGAGCAATGTTTGAATCTATAGTAGGTATGACAATGGGCAGCTGTTACAGTCAGTCTCATGGAACAGTATGTTGTGTTCCTTTTTATTTACTTTATGGATATTTAGCTGACTTTTCTGCATCAAAAACCTTGCCATGGCAACTAAATAAACCCAGAGTTGATTTTGGAAATGTAGAAGAGGTGAGTCTAGTCACTGTTTCTTAAACTGTGGATATTGATCACAAATAGTGTCTCCTTACATCGTGGTTCTCAACCTTCCTAATACCGCGACCCCTTAATACAGTTCCTCATGTTGTGGTGACCCCCAACCATAAAATTATTTTCGTTACTACTT